ACATACACACTCTGTCCTCATCCCCAGGCTCCCGCTGTGGGGGCTGCAGGCCCCACAGAGCCAGACCTGCTCTGGGGGGGGTCCCCACTTCGGCTTCCCCCCCTCCATGAGACCCACCTACTCCCCGGGGCAGCCACGTTCCTCCTGAGAAGCTCAGCGAGCAGCCACGGCTTTTCCCCCCTGGATTACGGATTAGTTGAGTTATTAACTAATAAGCAGGTCAAATTATAGGATTTTAAAAAATCCGCTTCATTCCCCCCACCCTGACCCCTTCGTCTCCCCCCTTGTTTCCAGCCAGCAACCAGGGCTGAAGGAAGGACTGGACTGTTGCTACCCCAGGGGTTTCCGTTCTCCTCCCCGAGTTGCCACACACAACAAATCACTTTGCCGCCGTTTTCCTCATTTGATGGATCAAACTCGGCTGCATGCACCCAGCAACACCAATACGAAAAGTTGACTGAGCCCATGTCATGACCGTCCAAGTCCATCACACTTCTGGCATATTAATGGAAAAAAACAGGATTAAAATACACCATCATCTTCATCACTACCGGTACCAAACCATGTGCAGAAGGCGAGCAGCTAAACATGAGATCCTCGGGCTGTGGAGCTCGCAGTCTGGCCGCACCCCAGCGGTCATAAATGAGCAAAATTATTTTTATTTTTTTTCCTGGGCATCTTTATCCTTGACCGATTTATGAGACTTCGGCAGGTCAGGGCAGGACCCGTGGCTCGGGGCACGCTTGTCTCTCTGCTCCAGGGTTAGAGAAGCGAGCTGTGGCCAAGTCAGGGGAGGAGACCAAGCAGCCTCCTCCTCCTCCTCCCCGCTGGAGTCGCCAGCTGGTGCCTTTGGCCAAACGCTTTGGCCCCCAAGGTGACGCTGTGGGGAGGATCCCGGGCACCCTCTGACAGCGCTTGGCTCTGACCCTTCCCCAGGATTAACCCTCCGGGTCCTCGCCAGCCCTGACGCTAGCCAGCCCTGGAAGGGGATATCCCATGAGGTGATTTTGGGGGAAAGGGGGAGCCACCCCAGTCCTGAACAATGGTTTTGGGGAGCTGCTGCCCTACATCCTGCCTCCAGCACTGGGGAGAGCAGGTGCCAAGCAGCATCACACGCGCCAGGGAAGGGAGACGGGGACACTCCGGGGCCCTTTGCACCAGGACCGGGTCACAGGGATCTCAGCCAGTGCAAGCAAAGATTTGGCCAGGACTGACCCAGCTCTAATTTGTGTTAGGTATTTTGACTGCAGTTCCAAGACAATGACAGCTGGCCAAGGAAGACGGGAACAGAATCTTTTATGGTTTTACAAACACAGAGGAGCAGCTGGTAGTTTAGCAGCAGGGATGTGGCCGTCACAACTCACCCCACAGCCCTCCCTGGCCTGAGCCAGGACCCGCATCACCTGCCTGGGGCTGCATCTCGTTGCAGCTTTATTTAAAAATAAAGAGTCCTGCATTATGTTGTATTTTTTTCCCTAGTTTTTGGCTTGAAATGTTCTCAGGTAGTGCTGATGGTTCGAGGCAGGCGTCACCCCAGGCATCTCAGCCTCTACTGTGGGATCTTACGGACGGGGAGTAGGATCCATGACCAGATCCTTCACTGCTGTCCCAGAAGCCTGCACGGAGGCACTTTAGTTACCATCAAGTCCAGGGGCTTTCAAAACCCCTCTGAACTTGCTGTCCACCTCCCCCCTGGTGCAGGCAGGGCTACGCCAGTGCTGGGGCAGCCTCAGAGGCTGGGCTGGGGGCCGCAGGGGCAGAGAACGAGGCAGCAGGTAGACATCACTCAATATTTTCATCAGGTAGTGAATTCTTTTTTTCCCCCCCTCCCTAAAACATGAAGAAAAGAATCCCATAGACCAGGCTAGTCAACTATTTCTTTATCCAACTCCGCTTCACTCCACGTTTTGCTCCAGCTTTACACAACTAAATCTGCAGACGAAGACCTGACACGCGCAGGGAAGGGCGGCACCACACCCACACCCGCACAGCCACCCCCATTTTCGGGCTGGAGGGAGAGGAGAAAAAAGAAGTCACCAATGTTGTCTAACAGATGCATTGTAATATTAAATGAAAGCTTAATAAAATCTTTTAAGAAAATCCCAGCCCTAGCCTACCACTCCATCAGCACAGTACACAGCGTATGCAAGACCTGCTCAGCTCAGCACGTGCCTGAGGGCTAGCTGGCTTTGCTGGGCCAGTTTAATTCATGATATCTTGCCAACCTGCAAGCATCACGGGAGCTGATGCCTCTCAGAAAAGCTGAGCACACCTGCCACAGAAAAAGCCCTCACGCAGGTCTTAGGTCCCGATGGCAAATTTCTACCGAGCGTGCAACCTGGCAACTTCAGCCTCAGAGTTCCAGCAATTAAGCAGCACGTGACCATCAACAGTCGTTTAGATGCCACCAGAGGAAGGAGGTGCCCTGCAAGAAAGACAGCCGAGCAACCACCAGCTCGGGGTCTTTCCAGAGGGTGCCCAGGAGTTTCCAGATCTCTGCTCGTGTCCTTGTGCTGGAAGTGAAGGGTCTTCATGCGCCGACGAGAGGATGGCGGGTGTCCCTCACCCTGTCCCCTCCTATTTTAAGATGATGTGGTAACTATCATTGGTTTCAGCTGCAAAAGAAGCAAAGCTCGTGAGCCACCTGTAACAGCCGAGGAATCCACTGGGTTGAGCAGATCCAACAAGAGCTCCCCAAGAAGCATGGAAGGGAAATACGAGACAGAGCCTGGGTATTTACGCACCTTTCATGGTGTCCAGAACAAAACAGGATTCGTCTTGGAAGTTCTGTATCATCTGAAAGAAGCCACAAAAGCCAGCTCAAGCTGAGGCTGTAGTTAAACACAGCAGAAGTGCTTCACAGCCCTCAGTGAAGGCTTTGCGCTCTGCCACTCAGCGATGAGCGGAGATTTGGAGTACAAAAGGGCCAGAAGCTTCTGAGGCAGGAGCTCAGTGCTCTGGGAGGTAGGAAAGGCACCAGCCATAAATATTTATTCCTTCCTCCAGCTCTCCAGAAGTGAAGGTCTGAACCAGCAAACCGAGAGAGAAACCATTGGATTCTGGGATGCAGGTCTGGAAGCAAAGTCCACCTGCAGCAATTCCCCTCCCTGTTTTTAGAGCAAAGCTAGAAGAAACCCAAGCATGAAGGAGGGTGTGCAGGCAGCCTGGACTTGCTCAGGGAGAGCCGTTCAAGCTTGATAAACCTCAGGGGTTTAAGTGAGGTGCCCCTGGCAGCAAAGCTGTATCCCCAGGTATCAACATCCTTGGCTCTATAGGCTTCAACAATTCACTTTGACTCTTTGGAAGCCAGAGGTGACTGAGCAGGGCCCTTCCTGAGACCTGGCCTGGGGTCCTGCACAACCTCCACAGCGCAGCTCAGAGCACAGACACAAACCAGCTGAAGCAACACGGTGCAAGAGGCTGAAAACAAGGAGCAGCCAGAGGCTGTTACCTCATCACTGATCAGCACGTGTATCCCTGTTGGACCTTGCTTGTAAATCTGGCTGATCTGTTGCGAGGAGATGCTGAAGAGCTGGGCCAGCTTTTCCGTCAGCTCCACCGCCGTCAGTTCCTCCAGATAAATAGCGTGGTACACTGCAAGGAGAACAACTCTTACAGCCAAGAGCGGCTTCGACACTGACAATGTGGATGCAGAGAGGCTTCAGCTGGTGCCACGGACCCCAGCCCAGGGAGCAGGGGCTCCAAGGAGCGCCCCAACCCACCTGCGCTCTGCCCGGGAACACACAGCCCCGTCTGGAAGGGACCGAGCCAAACCCGTCTGTGGAGGGTTAAACGCCCGCTCTGCTGTGCCAGACTCTTCCCAAGCCCAAGCACTAACTCTACGTGCAACTGCAGCGTGGCTGGGGGCTGCTCTTGCTACATGGCTGCTGCATGCCCTGAGCTACACAAGCAGCAGCTCCGCAGTAACTTGGCTGTCATCAACGTCCTGCGACACTCTGCCTTTATGCAGTCCTTGCCCCAAAAAAGCTTCTAGTCCAACTAGCATCAGGCGAGCAGCTTTTTGTACCGTTCTCAGTGGTTTTCAATCCCAGCAGGATGGAAATGCCACCCTAGCACCTTCCCTGTTCCCCCACTCCCACAAGGCAGGTCCTGGGGGGAAAAGCAGGAGGATCCGAATTGGAGCAGGGCAAGGAAAGGCTGAGAGCTCTTTGCTTTTGCACTTGCCGCTCCAATCACGGAGGTGGATAAACCGGCGCCTGGCTGCTCCACAAATGTAGGTCACTCATTGTTGTCTGAGCAGTGCTGGATTCTCGCAGAAGCTATCATTTGTCGGCTCAGAGCAGGCAACATGCTGACAGTCAGATTCTGCAGCTGCCCATTTGGAGGGCAAGGAGAAAAAAATTGGCTGGGTAGGACCAGGGCAAGTAAAAAGGGTTTGCCGCGATCTTTTGGCACCTTTGCTGAGGGAGAGCGTGCAGAACCCCCTGATCTGTGAGCAGAGCCTGCGTTAGGTTGTGGGTGAGCTCGCAGGTGAGCCTGCAGCCCCCTTGCAGTGGAGAGACAAGAATATCAGCAGCCAACACCAGGTGTGGGAGCTGAAAACAGAAGCCACAGACCCTCTCGGAGCTGCTGTGCAGGCTCAGGGGGGCTCTGGTACTGTGAGCAGCCCCAGCTGCAAGAAGGGCCTTTTGCCAGCCCAAAACCCACGGGGCAGTGGTGTGGGGACATGGGGATCAGGGGCAGCAGCAGTGGGGCTGGAACCATCTCCCCCACATCTCTGTTTGCTGAACCCCCCAGGCTGTTATTATTTCCCCCCTCGCCCTGTCGGCAGCAACCCAAGCCCACGTACACCCAGCCAGGCTTTGGAGCCCTTACCAAAAAAAGTACTGGTCACTGTGTCCCTGTCCTCGTGCTTCTGCTGCAGGTCCCTCAGCTGCTGGGACTCCTGACACACGTAAATGGTCAGTCTGGGCCGCACCATCCTACGGACAGAGCACAGAGTGAAGGCCATGGGATTTACTCAAGGACACCTCTAGTTCCTGACACTCTGCTGGTGCTCTTCCCTCCCCAGTATCCTCAGAAGGAAAAGAGATGGACAAACTCATCTCACAGCATAACAATGGTGGCTGTCCCCACCTTGCTGATGCAGCAAAGGTTTTTTCGAGAAGGGGATGAAATCGGCACGGGGACAGGGTGCCAGCTGGCTACTGAATAGCTAAATTGGACAGTTCCCTCCTGAGGACAGAGCAGCCCCAGTTCAGAGCGAGCTCTGCTGGTAACACACACACTCCTTCTCATTCAGAGCCTCATTCTGCAGTGCAAAAGCCGGCAGAATCTCCTGTACTTTGTGCCCTTCCACCAGCACAGCACAGCTGATTCACAGAATCCCAGAATCGTCTGGGTTGGAAAAGCCCTTGAAGCTCCTCCAGACCAAGCATGACACTCCCCCTGACCCTTCCCAACTCCCCCAGATCCCTCAGCGTTGGCTCAGCCCGACTCTTCAACCCCCCCAGGGATCCCGGGGACTCCCCCCTGCCCTGGGCAGCCCATTCCAACGCCCAACAGCCCCTTCTGCACAGAAATCCTTCCTCAGAGCCAGCCTGACCCTGCCCTGGGCAGCTTGAGGCCATTCCCTCGGGGCCTGGCGCTGGCTCCTTGGCTCCAGAGACTCATCCCCCCTCTCTGCCCCCTCCTGGCAGGGAGTTGCCGAGGGCCAGGAGGTCTCCCCTCAGCCTCCTCTTCTCCAGACTGAACCCCCCCAGTTCCCCCAGCCGCTCCCCAGCAGACCTGTGCTCCAGACCCTGCCCCAGCTCCATTGCCCTTCTCTGGCCACGCTCGAGTCATTCAATGGCCTTTTTGGGGTGAGGGGCCCAGAACTGAACCCCCTCAGCGAGGGGCGGCCTCCCCAGTGCCGAGCCCAGGGCTCAGATCCTGTCTCTTATACACA